CAGGCTGGTCTGAGTGGACAGAAATTTCATGACTAATTGCACAATTTATTGATTGCTCCAAGGTCCAGGGCCATAGTCCACCGTCGCTGATGACAGAATTCCATCAGCCCCCTTTTGTTTATTAGTGACCCTGGGATAAATAAACAGCTGACACTGCAGTTCCTGCTCCGAGTTCTTTCTTTGACCTCTCCCTTACAGCACAGAAACCAGCTCACTGTGTAACTGGAGGGTCTCGGCAGTGAGGAGGGGGTGTGTGGGCCAGAGAAGGTTTAAGGAGGACAGGAAGCAGGAGGGGAACAGGACAGAGAACAATGTATGAGAGAAACAGGATGATTGAGGGGTGAGGGGGATGGTGGGGGAAAAGAATACAGGCAAGAGATGGCAAAGGACAGCAGGAGAGAGGGAGGGTTGGGGCAGGGGGAAGTGAAAGAGAGGGAAAGGGAAGTGCAAGGGAGTGTAGAGGAGGTCTGGGTGGGAGGAGGGTGTGTTGAGGGAAAGGGAGTGTGTTATTTCAGTCTTGTTATTTACATACAAACAGAAAATAGGGGTAGACCATTAGGCCCTTTGAGCCTGCTCCACAGTTCAATATGATCACAGCTGACCATCCAACTCAGTCCTGTTCCCATCTCTCCCTATGCCCATTGTTCCCTTTAGCCCCAAGAGCTCCTTCTTGAGAGCATTCAATGTTTTGGCCTCAACTTCTTTCTGTGGTAGAGCATTCCACAGGCTCTCCACTCTCTAGGTGAAGACATTTCTCCTAAATGACATTCCCCATATCCTTAGACTGTGACCCCTGGTTCTGGACTCCCTGCTCATTGGGAATACCATTCCTGCATTGACCATGTCTTATCCTGTTAGAGTTTAAGAGGTTTCTCTGAGATCACCAACTCTCACTGTTCTCAACCCCAGGGAATGTAGCCAAACCCACCCAGTCTCTCTCTTCGCAGGTCAGACCTGCCATCCCAGAATATAAGGATGTAAATGGAAACAAAAACAGAAACTGCTGGAAAAGCTCAGCAGGTCTGACAGCAGCTGTGGAGAGAAAGCAGAGTTAATGATTCGGGTCAAATGACCCTTCCTCAGAACATAAATGGAGGTGGTTCCGGGGAGGCTGGGTAAATTGCTAATTGGATTGACCATGTTATTGGACTGAGCTGGTTACAGTTCAGAAAACAGGACGGCAATTTTATTGATGTGTGTAAGATCCTGAATGATCATAGATATCTGTACACTGACTGGTGTGTCTCAGTCTCCACTCTCACAGGGAGATATCTATACACTGACTGGTGTGTCTCTTTCCCTCTCTCTCAGGGAGATATCTGTACACTGACTGGTGTGTCTCAGTCTCCACTCTCTCAGGGAGATATCTGTATACTGACTGGTGTCTCTTTCTACGGATCATTGAATCGTAGAATAGAATGATAGAAACCCTACCATGTGGAAGCAGATCATTTGGCACATTGATACTGCACTGACCCTCTGAGGAGCATTCCACTCAGATGGGGGAGGAATAAAAACCATCCACCCGTGCAAACCCTCTCAACTCGAACCCAGAGACAGAGTGCCACCACGAACATTCTCTTTGAGCTGCATTGCACAAAAAAGCCAGGAATGCAGAGGCTGAGCTTGTTCAGCCCACTGAGCCTGTATTAGCTCTTTTTAAAGTCCCTGACACACTAGATTAGAGATGATAGGTTTGGAAGACACTGCAGAGGAACAGAACGAGACAGAGACTCAAAAGAAAGAGAGAAGGGTAATTTTTATTGGGTGGGGACACTATACATTTCCAGCATGTTCCTGTCTTCCTCAAGAGAATCCGAACAAAAACAGAAGTCCAATCTTAAGCAGGTCTGCCCAGGAAGAACACCAGCAGTGTGGCAAGGGCCAGAGAACAACATAGCCTACAGGGGGAGAAGATATTAAATAGACAGATATTCAGTGCAGGGACTGTGCCAGGGGAGTGCCACGCTGTCGGAGGGACCACGCCAGAGGAGTGCCGGGCTGTCGGAGGGACCGTGCCGGGGGTGTGCCGCGCTGTCGGAAGGTCAGTACTCCGATGGGGGTGGGGGAATGGACTCTCCTTGAACTGCTAGCCAATCAGAAGGCAGCAACTCTGTTGCTCGGCAGTGCCATTGGGAGGATGGTACCACAACGCAACTTGCCAAGGCCCAACCACCTCCTTCTCCCCGAGTTAATCAGGATAGAGATGAGACATTGCCACCCACTAGCATCTCAGGGCAAGCCTGAACCCAACATGCCCACTCCCAATACCTGCCTGAAAGTGCTGGTCACAGTCCCCGAGTGGGACCAATAGCGATAAGGCTCCACTTGGAAAACGGGATGGGACCGGTAGGTTCGCAAGATCTTCCTGGCCCTGGAACAGAAGGTTAGGGGTTTACACTGTGAGACAACTTGAGAATCCATCAATTGCGTGTTCCTCATTCATTTACAGAAGGGATGTGAGAGCATCAATGGCAATGCTGACAGAGGTCCCTGTTTAACCAGGGAGTCTTCCCCTCTCAGGGACCCCACTTAAAGGTGGAGTCTCTCCTTCTCTCTGCCAGGGACCCTGTTTTGTCAGGGAGTCTCTCACTCTTGCTCTGTCAAGAGTCCAGTTTAATGAAGGTGTGTCTCTATCTCTCTCTCTCTCTCCCCCTGTCCTTGTCAGGGTCCCTGTTTAAAGAGAGAGTGTCTTTCTCTTTGTCAGGGACCCTGTTTGAACAGAGTCTTGCTTTCTCTCTTTCAGGAACCCTGTTGAAAGAGGGTGTCTCTCTCTGTTGGAGTCCCTGTTTAAAGAGAGAGTGACTCTCTCTCTCAGTCAAAGACCCTGTTTTAAAGAGGGAGTCTCTCTCTCTCTCTCTCTCTCTCTGTCAGGAACTCCGTTTAATCCAAGATTGTGGCAGGGTAAGTCACCCCTTTCAGAGCTCCACTCTGCTTGCCAGTTCCCTTTCCTTTCCCTTTCTCATCTCCTCTTCTCTATCCTCTCTGCAGTAATTCTATGCCCCCCACATTCCCAGCCCTATTAGCTATCTACCTGAGGAGGCAGGTCGTGACTGGGAACCATGTGGGGGGCGCCGAACACACAGGCCATGTCCTGCACTGATGGCAGATTGAGCTTTGGGCCGGAGCAATGGCGAGAGCTGGCTGGTGAGGAGGCAGCAGCCGGAGGTGGGAGCGGGGCCGGTGAGGAGGCGGCAGTGGGAGCGGGCCAGTGAGGAGGCAGCGGCGGGAGGCGAGATCGGGGCCGGCAAGGTGACGGCGTGTGGGTCAGTGAGGAGGCGGCGGGAGCAGGGCCAGTGAGGAGGTGGCAGCCGGAGGTGAGAGCGGGGCCAGTGAGGCGGCAGCGGCGGGAGGCGAGAGCGGGGCCGGCGTGGCGGCAGCAGCGGGAGGCGA